CGAGTGACGAGCACTTTGTCGTCTGACTAGATGTCAGACGGAACTGGAACGAACTTTTAACCTTTCATTAAACTACTCCTTTCACCTCGTAGGCTGGTGCGGGTTCCTCTTGGCGTACGCTCCGGAAAAATGTTTTTTTTAAAGTAGGATGAACATTGGATAACCATAATTTGAATTCATAAAAATAGTGATATTGGGGTGCACTTTTTCGGGCATAACAACTGCACCTGTGGTTTTCCAGAATTTTTTCCTTTTTCTTTGCATGTAGTGAAAACCAAAGTAGTCAAGTAACACTTAGAGAACTTTCACTTGTCGTTTTATGTGAAAGTTCAATAATTCTGCGCTCATAAATTTCGTCTTCGCGCTCCGATGCGGGAGCTGGTCATAGTGAGTGAGCAGTGTTGATTCGAATGGATCACACTACTTGTGTTGGCAGTAACGTTTCAAAAAGCTTACGGAGACATTCTAATAGTTAGTCCCTGCCCTTCTGCGGCGCTTTCTGTGCAAGTCTTGCGCGCGGTTTCCTCATGGTTAAAAAAGGAAAGAGCGAAAATGAAGTGGTACAGCTTTTCTATATTTGTCATCTTTATCTCTAAATTCTTAGGTAATGGATCTCCTTCTTCCTCCTTTTATTTCACACAATCACTATTGGTTCTACAAGGAATGATCCAATCCATCAGTCGGTCGGCAACGACAATACAATTGAATTGTATATTTTTTAGCGTAGCAACAAACGTACGATATTCTATCAACTGTTATTGATTTCTGCAAGAATATTGTTGGAAGAAAGCATTTAGCTTCTTGTCACATGAAGTTCTGTATTGCAAAGAGCATAAATGGCTTTATCATCACCAACCCATCATAAAAACTCAATAAATGATATGCTAATGATGAGGTTACTGATTAATAAGGATTGTAATAAATATAAATTATGCCGGATAATGGTACAAGTGAATGAGACACCGGTGAAAAAACAATTATCGCATAAAACAATCTCTAGAAAGATGATAACAATAAGAAGGAAGCAGGTGTTTTGATTATTTCGCCTTTTTGGTTAGTTTCTGCTTTATTGCAACTTCAGCGCCTGAAAATACATGTTCTGAGTAACTACCATTTCTCTGTATTTTATCGTGCTTATGAACCTCAAAGATAACAGTCAACATTCACAACTCACTCTTCTATGACACATGACATGTACAGGTCGCCTTAGAGCACTTCTTTGCACTAGAATATGAATGAGAAGTTGGTTTTTTTGCTCGATTTTGCTTCCTTTACAAATGCTTCGTATAGGATTAGCATTGCATTGAATTCTTCTATGCTATTCTCGGGTCCAAGCGAAAATAATGACATTTTTCTAGCGAGTAGCTTTTCATTTTTCAAATTGATCTTCTTGCAATTTTTCGTCGAATGGAAAGCCACTTACCGAATGGCTTCCTACTCTATTTCATTTTTGGCCCGAAAGTAACATAAACAAAAATGATTGCTTCCCAAAAACAGCAATATGGTTCGAAATACGTTTACTGTAATAGAAAAATCAATTGGTGACTGAACATAAGAGGAAGCGCTCACCTTCCCATCCGTATTCTAGTGCAGCTAATGTGCACTACGGCCCCAGTTAGGTACAGTTACAAAAGAGGGCTGTGATTTGGACACCGACTATCGCCTGCGTCGTGGCTGCGGCGCGGCGATGCGGCCCCGCCCATTGCCAAAGAATTGGAACAATCAATCAAATCTTGGGTCGACTCACCGTGAATACACGAAGAGAAGAAAACTGCGATTCTAATTAGAGCGTAGTACCCTAGTATGGATACTACAAAAGTTCCAATAAAAGCCTCCCACGGGAGTATCTCTAAGAGAGGGTAGAGCCAGTAGCCATCAAAGAATCGAACGGCCATAATTCTTCAAAAATTATTGACTTCCATGAAGTTTCGGAAAAAGAGGATAAGTAAAGGTAAACCTACATAAGGAAGTAAACAAGAACATGCAGTCCAGCCATCTGTAGCGATTTCCCATGTGGCGGCGGGCTTCTCCGAACAGTCAGCAGATCGAATCCGACATAAAGTACGGGTAAAGTATGGGTAACGTGGTTTAACCATTGCGGAATTAGCTTAGCCACCCATTCCGGCATCACTAACTCTGGATCAATCGCATACAGACCCCAGAATAATGCGCAAGTGACCTAAAGTAACAGAGAAGGGTTTGCAGTATAATTTTATATCCGTGATTTTCAAGGAATCTGTTTAAAAATTTTGGTAGAAGTCTCTGAGTTGAGTACTTTTCGGACTGCAGTGT